AGGAACATAATTTAGCTGTCCGTCGCTAGGACCCTCTGTCCCTCCTCTTCGTACACGCTATCGAGGTCGACCATCGATTTAATTGAGATGACAAGGAAATCGTCGCCTTGGCCAACACAAAACAAGCACGTGAATTTTTCGAGGCTTGGTACTCTACGGTGGTCAGCATCAACCGCGCACGTTGATTTGGACAACCAATACGGTAGCTTGAGATCAAGATCAAATTTCCCCCGTCCTAATCGCACATCAATGACCGCTAACCTAGTCACTTCAACACCTGCCGACACACCATCCGTCCTCCCCTTCCAACCACACGCCGCCCACAAACATGTGGGTGCACTAACGATGACTCATCTCACACGCCACTGGTCCAGCTATTCCGTTCTCTTAAACTGTCTACTGTAAGCTTCTTCTTCTTCTTCTTCTTCTTCTTCTTCTTCTTCCCACAATCCCTTTTATTTCGTCTGATTAAAAGCAGGTATCCCCAACTCAAAAATGTACAAGACCATCTTGATTTTTCCGAAGAACCTTTTCTTTTCATCATATATATGTGACAGAGAAAAACTAGAGCCTTATAACAGGACGTCAGTACGTCTCTCGTAGCCGATCTACAGCGGTGAACGTCCGTGACATTCAGACATAAGACGTATATTTAGTTAAAGGCGAACAAGCTCCCTCACAGAATCACTGCGCCTCGAAGAATACGTATGCAATATCATACGCACACTCCGTTTAGTTTCGTTGGGCCTGCTGACTAGCAGTTCATTTGCGCTCACTACTCTCCACCGCTTGGACGACCAGTACATACAAAGAGCCAAAGCTCACCCACCTTCTATTGAAAAGGCGTTCCATTGCACGCTTTTACTGCTACCTCGGTTATTATAAATATATATAGAAAACAAAATAACTACTAACAGTAGTTAGTAGACATTCTTATTTAAGATAAAAAGCATTGATTCTGAGAAACTGACTTTCAATTTCTATCGTCCAGTTCTCCTGGGTGACAAGCCCCCACTGCGGTGTCATGTAACCAGCGATGACACCATGGTTAGGAATCCAGGGGCCACAAGTGGTTGCGTTGGTGATTGTTCTGGCCATTGGACAGGAGCGAACAGCCACGCTCCAGAGACAACAGCTTTCTGGAGTGGGAGGTTGGCCGCAGGGTCCTTTTTCGCAGAAATCTTGTACCGCTTGTGCAGTTCTAAATAAAGCCATACAGTTCAAAGTAATGAGAAGGTCCAGCATAACTTTATCACCTCTTTGCATATTTCCAGTGGAGGGATTTAGTGCAGAAAATAGGTAAGAAATTTTTTGAAAAATCAGGATCTAATAAACCAAACGAAATGAAATGACTGTCAAACGATGAGGATTGAAGCAATCCAGATAAATCCACCTAGTCAATATACACAACTGTCCGGTAAGAGTCCTTATCGTAGCAGCCATGTGAATAGTTTAACTTCAACCAGAAGGTTTCCCGAGAGATTTCACAATTAGCAGCCTGGTAATTTCGAGATCATTATGCCTAATAATACAGTATGACAAGTACTGCATGCAACTTTCATGATGAAATTTACCTTGGTAGTTAAGCATATGCTTGGACGGGTCATTTTGATCAACCGTGTAAATTCAATCATTACAAAGGCTTTAGTTTGAAAAACTGTCCCTTTATTCAAAGTTATTGAGCGAAATAGGCACCAATTATGCCTACACCATGAATACAGTAGATTCACTATCTCATGCAATAGCTGCCTGAATTCTGAAATAAATTTTCGATTGGAACATATTAATTGCCGATGGTTGTAAAAGAGATGATCATACAGCCTAATCTCAACATATTTTAGACACTTCAGGATGCCGGCTTTCTAACGAGCGTCTTTCTGACTGCCAACACAAGGCATGTACTATAAAAAGTGACATCTTATGTAGCATGCCTTTTTGTCATTAATTTCGACTGCCTTTATAGATTCAAATATATTTTTGGGAAAACATGCACGAAAAAGTTATTTCTTGTACTCTTTTGGTAGCAAATTACGCCTTCTTTAAACTTGATACTTAAAGAAAGGGTATCTTTCGGTTTTAAAAAGTTTCTAAATTGCTGAATAATTTCGAAACCTACTGACTGCTACATTGGAATTCAAGGTTTACAAACTGCGCACTGT